AAGCACGGTCTTTGAACAATAACCTAAGTTTATGCCCGTACGCCCGGACCATTCTGTCTGGGACCTGCTTAGTGCAACGCCGGCCTTGTCACCCGTTCCAGGTGCAGCATCTTTTCCTTTTCCCCCGGCCCCTCCTGCGCCCGTGTCTTCAGGAAGCTTGACCACTCCTGAACCCGTGCCGCCTGCTCAGCTGCCATCTGCACCTCCCGAATCAGGTTCCAGCAGCCTGGTGGCCAATCAAGGGGAGAGTGTGTCCATGAGGAATCATGCCCTTCAGAGGCAGCTTGGTATGCCAGGGTTGATGAGCGTGGTGGTTCGGGACAAGCATCGCGGGCCAGCGCCAGTTTTGAGGTAGTTTCCGATATGGGAGCTGGCGGGTGATAGCAAATCCCAGGCGAGGGAATCCTTTGAGCCACTGCCTGTCTGGTTATCAAGTAGAGAAGCGGACATGGATGTAAGGGCCCGTGCAGTAGTGAGCCTTGCTAAACGTAGGCGGTTGGAAGTGCCCAGGCTTCCATGGGAAAAGCCCCGAGGCATGCTTGAGGCTAGCATCGAGCACTTCTTGACCTTTGAGCCGCAGGTTGGATTGAAGGAGACGTTGACAGCATCTTCTAGAGAAGTAGTTGAGGTTGGGGCGCATGAGGGCTGTTCCATGCAAAGATGACATTCGAAATGCAGCTATGAAGCGCATCAAAGTGTTAATCTTGCTAGACCCAGAAGCGACTAGGTTGGGGTCCAGCTTGATTCAGCAAACACAAGAGTTGAAAGACGACGGGTATATCATGCAGTCGTTGTCTGACGCGTTTAGGAGGCCTGCAAGCTCGACCTTGCAAAAGCGTGCGTTGTCCCCGGGAGCCGACCTAAGCATTCCAGGAGCTTAGGGGTGGGGCTAGTGTTCGGTAGTGTTCGGTAGTGTTCGGTAGTGTTCGGGAGTGTTCGGGAGCCGACCTAAGCATTCCAGGGCCTTAGGGGTGGGGCTAGTGTTTGGTAGTGTTCGGTAGTGTTCGGTAGTGTTCGGGAGTGTTCGGGAGCCGACCTAAGCATTTCAGTACAGAACTTCGCTGTGAGGTCATACCAAATGGGTTTCGACTCCCCCTGGAGGCTTAATGAGGAGCAGATGTATTCATTGTTCCAGGCTCTTCGGGAGGAAGGCGTGAAAGCATCTACAGCACCGCACTTGTTGGAAGCTTTGAACTTCATGCGTGGGATTGCAGTGTTCCTCTTCATGCCCTTGGATGCAGTGGTATCCTCCCGCACAAGGGGTGTCGCCAGGGACCTCAGGCTGACGAAGGAGCCGCTTAAGCAGAGGGACCCTTTGTCCTTAGCACGAGTGCGGTATCTGGAGGAGTTGATGCAGAGTAGTTCCGCATGGTTGCGTTGCATCGTAGGACAGTTCCTCTTGTGCATTCATGCTTCAGTGCGTTGGGCCGATTCTCAGAACATCGTTAGTCTTGAGATCTTGGGTGAAGGGCATGGAGCAATTTTGATGGCCTCGGCTTTGGGGTCGAAGACTACCCTGACTGCGGAAGCCAAGACTAGGTACTTGCCGTATGCTTGTGTCGCCGAAGGGGTGCTGCAGAAGCCTTGGGCTGCTGCGTGGATGGCGGCTCGGGAAGAGCAACATCTCACGTTTGAGGCAGGGTGTTTGCCAACATGGAGGGTCTCTCAAGGATGTTGGGGAGATGTAGCCATGTCAAGTGAGGAAGCAGCAGGCATCTTGGAAGAGCTTCTTGTGCAGGGATCATTGGCACCGCTGGCCTCAGAATCAATAGGAACGCACAGCTTCAAGGCGACTATGATATCATGGTCGGGATGGTGTGCATGTGTGCCTTTTACAAACAATGAAAGAAGACTCATGGGTCATCATGTGAAGCGTGGGTCGACTTCGACTTTAATATATAGCCGCCAATACTACATCAACTTGTGTGGGTAAGCTGCTTGCGATGTATCAAGCTATTCGAGAAGGAAGGTTCAGCCCGGATCTTGATGTGGCTCAACGTGTCTGGAAAGTGGCAGAAAGCATAATGCCTGATACGCGTGGGGAAGCTGAGCCCAATCGTGAGGAACCCCAAGAGCAGGTGGACGCAGAGGACAGTTCTGTGTCCGGGGAATCCGAGGCGGAACACCTGCCTCCTGACTTGGGTCCCATCAAACGTGTGCCATTTGTAGGCTGCAGCCCTGACGAGCTCCGGGTGCACAGGCTGTCAGGTATAGTGCGCAGACTGAAAGGCGTGGACTTCTTTTGGTGCGGAAGGCCGGCAACTGGACGGTACCGGGATTTCGCAGTGGATGATCAAGACGAGCCAGAGACCTGCGTACAGTGTAGGAGAGCAGCTGATTTTGACGAGTGATAATCAGGCGGGCCAACGCAAAAGAAGGGCGCACGCGTCAATCTTGGTTGCATGGAGGGATGTCCGGATTATGTATCAGCTGCATTTCAGAGATGACTGAAAGTAACGGGGGCGGTCGTTTAGCCGAATGCACATATGCATTGCTGAGACCCGTGGCCCCATGGGAGTGACTTGACACGTGACCATCGGGCGGAGAGTTTCCAACCGAGGCATGCAACTGGTTATGCCGTTGAGACTCCCGTGCCTGAGCCCGAGAGAAAATGGAGCGGCACCGAGGTGTGTATAATACACCGTTAGTTTGCCCGGGCTCCAACAAGTAAAGACAAGAGGGTTGACTGCGAAGCTGTGCTCCGCCGTGGTCTGTGGCCCAAGATTTTGGAAAGCTGGCCTCATTAAGTGAGGCCCGAAGCTGGAAGTGAGTTTGCCATGTCATCTGCCTCCTTGGACAGTGAAGCTTCCTTTGAAGATCGATGCAGAAAGATTGGCTTCAGTGAAGACTTACTGAAGTCTCTAGTGTCTGCTGGATACAACACCTTTGGAAAGGTGTCGTTTGCCGCTGCCTCCACTCCGCAAAACTTAACGGACTCAGCATTGGATGAATGGCTGAAGTCTGTGGTGGATCCTCTGCCGTCGGCATTTCAGATTGCGTGTGTCAGAAGGCTCCTTTATGAGTCGCAGTTGATGCATGTTGCTGATTTAAAAAGTAGAGTGGAGGGAGCTTCGGAGGAGAAGGTGCGGAAGCTCCCCGTTGCTGAGCGCAATGCCCGGGTTGAGGAGCAGCATAAGCGGTTGACCGGCCTCGTCCATACTCCTCAGACACAGCCTGCAAACCATTGTGTGGATCTTGTAGTGGACATGTTGGAGTCTAACTCCCCTAAGGTATGTTCCCATGAATCGCTGGACGTCAAGGGCCCAAGAGTTATCGCTGGCAAAGAAGGACCCTTTGGTTCAGGTTGACTCAGAAGGTGCCATCAAAGTTGGAGCTAAGTCCCCAGAGGCTACATGTGACATCGGGGGGGCATACGCGCTTCGGCAAGCCTTCCTTAGAAGGTCGCTCGCCTTTGACCTTGGTCATCTGGCATCCTTCTCAGTGATGGAAACATACGTGTCGATGTTGTTCGAGCATCTTCAGCGCCCGGTTCCGAAAGGATACTCCTCAGTGACGCTGGGCCAAGTGCTGGCTGCGGATAAGGAATTATTTGTGCGAGCAGCGCATGAGCTAGATGGCAAACTGCAAAGCCCCGCCGGAGCAAGCAGGCCCTTGGATGCAGCCATCACCACTTTGTCAGCGTCCCAGGGGTCATCCAATTTCTGCTCCCAATGCCGTTGCCGCCGCCGCCGCCTCATCCGGTCAAGCGTCCTCATGCAGCGACCGAGGGTGCCGCTGATCAGGGTGCGGGCGATCAGCCTGGCAAGGGAAAGAAAGGCAAGGGTAAGGGGAGCAAGGGTAAGGGGCAAGGAAATAAGATAACAATTCCCGAAGTGTGTGCAGCGCGTGACACTCAGAATCGTCCGAACTGTTTCGCCTTCAACCTAGGAGGCTGCAAGCTTCGCGTCACCAAGGGCAGGTGCCCCCGTGGCATGCACCACTGTTGGAGAACCGCCTGCGAGGGCAGTCATCCGTACACTGAATGTACCCATGGCATGCAGTGAAGAGGCCAATCGGGGTTAAGGCCAGGCCCCGAGGCCGACCACATGGCCTCCGAGGACGCAGAGTCAGTTGCCAACCAAATTTTGCAGTCAGGACAGCCTCCCACTAGGGAGCAGATCTTGAAGTTGTTTAATCTGCTGCCCATGGAAGCCCCGCCGCGTACAGGGGGTGGAGATCGGGTGGCCAGTTTTTCGTGTGGAGCCTACTCACAGGGTAGGTTGCATGGCCTACGAGCCAACTCCAAGCATTTTCCCAATGCATGCACAGTCCTTGCGAGCTTTGTCAAGCGTCAATTACCGGAGCACCATTTCACTACCATATCCTTGTTCCGCAACCTTCGAACAGATTGCCATGTGGACTCGGGAAATTTTAGTTCGCCTAATGCAGTGTTTCCCATATCGTCTTTCCAGGGAGGCGGGATATGGGTGGGCGATGGCAAGGGTTCGCATATGCGTGAGATTAAAGGCCAAAAAGTCCAGGGAAGCATCCTGCCTTTGGATCAGGGTCCTGCGGTCTTTGATGCATATAAATACCCTCGCTGCACGGAAGAGTGGCAGGGTGAGCGCATAGTGCTGATAGCCTTTTCGGTCAAGGCTTTGTCAGAAATGCCAGCACAGCAGGCCATGGCATTGTTGGGTCAGGGTTTCAATGTGCCTCCTGCCTGTCCATTTCCGTTTGCGCTGTCAACGCAGGATTCGCCCCCGGCACGCTCTCGGGAAGCGTGGTTCTTTGAGATTTTCTCAGGGAAGGCCTCCTTGTCAGCGGCATGTGCCAAAATCGGGTTCAAGGTGCTAGCATTTGACCATGTAGTTGGAGGTGCGCAGGCTGCCACAGTACCGTTGGATTTGTGTCAAGAACAGGGCCGAGCCTTGTTTTGGCAGCTGATCCGGCGCAACAAACCTCAAGCTCTGCATGGTGGCCCGCCATGTGGCACAAGCTCACGGGCACGTGAGCGACCGCTGCCCAAATCCAAGTTCCCGAATGCCCCAAGGCCGTTGAGGTCAAAAGAGTTTCCTTTAGGCCTGCCAAGCATTAAAACCGAAAGTGTGGATGGGATTAAGCTTAGAAAGGCTAACGCCCTATATAAGTTTACGTATCTCTTGATACTTTTCTGCGTCAAGCACGACATCCTGATTAGCGTGGAAAACCCTGCGAACTCCCATTTCTGGGCTGTGCTGGCGTGGTTCGCTGAGCAGGACTCCATCACGTGGCCTCCAGAGCAGTTGGAATTCATTTCCTTTGATGCTTGCATGCATGGCAGCGAGCGTCCGAAAAGGACGGCCATCCTTGGCACCAAGGCTGTCTTTGCCCCACTGGGGGTCCTTTGTGATGGTTCGCATGAACATGC